AGTCGTTGCTATGGGTTTTGGGTGGCTGTCAAAATTATGGTCCCTTCTTGGATCCCTATTATGATACGGCCCCTAATATTTAGGGCACCCCCAAAAAGGACCATAATTTTGACATCCACCCATTTTGGGGTAAGTGGGGATGGTAGGTAGAGTTACTAGGCTCAAAGAGCGTCCGAGCAAGGAGTGCCTTTGTGGATGGAGGAAGTCTAGCACCACCCGGTACAATCTTACACGTCTATAGGACTATTACAGCGCATCGGTTCTTAAGTCTAAGGCAATGACGGGAGGGCAGTTACCATGTAGCGACCTTACATAAGCCTTATATACTCCTTATATATAAATCCCCATGATTCCTATACAGCCCTCATATACCCATCATATATAAACTCCCCCCCTTCGAAACTCGCCTCCTCTAGCTGGTCCTAATTGAATTTCCTCCATCCGCCGTTGGCAGTAGGTTCAACGATGTCATCCTGGCCGGAGGCGAGGATGCCGAGGCCAGAACCAGCAGATTGTTGGATTCCCAGTTTATTGTTTAGGGGGAATTTAGTAAGTAGGCTAATACCCCCCAAAAGCTCATATAGCAACCCTACTTATCCCCAGTGTTCACCTGCTTGCAAAGTTCCCCTGACCCTCCAAGTAGTAAGCCTATTAATTCCTTTTTTTTTTTTGGGGGGGGGCTGGTGGTGGGGTCCTAGCTTCCTCATGAAGCTAGGATATGCTACGTTCGGATGTGTCCAGGGCTTCTCCAGGTCTCAGCCGTTTTATTCTTTGCGCTGTTTTGGTTGGCAATTTTCTTTGTGTTGTGCGGAGCGTAGGGCTTGGGTTGAGAGAACATCACACCACCCTGTAGGCTGGCTTAGGAGGACCCCCCACCCTGTGATAGTGGTATAGTAGGAATATAAGAGAACCCTAATATACTCCTTATTATCCCATATAGTGACTATTACAGGGTGGGGGGTCCACCTAAAGGCTGGCAATGCAAGAGGTCGCCTCTTTTTTTTTTTGGTATCCTAGCTAGTGCAAAATTCCCTTCATCAGACGGTAGCATTCCTTGCAAGGGTCAAGATGTTGTGTCCTTCTGGTCTGGTACATGACGTCGCCCACGGATTTGGGGCATCCCCTATAATCAGCACACTAGAAATAAGAGCCATGTGATAGTCACAGGGTACTCACTTTCGGGCTGCGGGAACTACAGGCTCTCAGTCCGGACCGTTTTAACATAAACCTTACAAACCTCGGCTCCTAAATTGTGAAGACCTTTCCTTACTATACCTTTGCCCAAAGCAGCATGGAGCTGTCAAAGCCCCATATAGACTGGTTTCCTGATGACAAATTGAGGCTATGTAGGATGTTAGTCTTGGCTTAGTCTTGGGGAGGGTGAAGCCGCATATCTCATGTCTCCCGCACACTGCATAATCCCTCTACAGATCCATCAACAAACCCAAGCCCCAGATCCCTGAGCCTCTGCCCATAACCTGTAGAGCGGCCTACATACCACTGGGTTTCGGTGTTCGAGCGTGTGGTTGCTATTCTTACTGTTGTCATGATTCTCATTCATACTCTAACTCTTGTTGGAAATACCATTCTTTTATTGTTTGTACTACCATTACTCTTACCAATAGTGTCATCATCGTTGTCATTGTTATCATTTTATTGATAGTATTCCTATTTATTCCTAGTAGTTATTGTTATCACGATGACAATGATGGGGATTTGGCACGTCTTGGGCGATCTCTGACTGGCTGCCCGCAGGCCATCCTCGGAGTTGCGAGTCGCCACCTCCAAGAGCGCGGGGCTTTGGGTATCTTGGGGTTCGTAGGGGGAAGGTCCCCAACGCAGAACAATATCAGAATGGTACTAATATCATACGTCATACTCAAGGTTAGCCATGGCTGAGGGGGTTACAGGTTTGGGGTTTAGGGCATGGGGTAGAATTAGGGGGTTAGTAGAGACTTGGAGGGCATGGGGTTTGGGTCGAGGGCATAAGGTTCCATCGACAGTTAATCTCATCCCTATCAATCCTTTGCCCTCAAGCCCAGGAGGATGCAAGTTTTGCAGGGCAAAAGCTCAAACGGAAGCAACGCAAATCTCCCAACCTGAACCCTATATAACTCGCATCAACAGGTTGGGGTTTCTATCCGTAGGATGCCCCATAACAGGACCCAAAGCGCACCCCCAAACCTAAGCTCTGAAGCCTGTATAAACCCTGTCAGTAAGGTATAAACTTTAAAGCCTAAAGCCAGAGCTTCTCAGGCAAAGCCTGTCGAAGTCGAAGTCTGTCGTTTTTTCGAAGTGGGGTCGTTACTTACGCCTTTACTGCGTCAGTGTCCGTTGGGGTCCAGCGCAAAAAAGATATAATGCTCAAGCCCCTAAAGCCAGTGTGATACTAGGTGTCATGACAATCCAAGGCCTCAACATCGCAAGCAATATACGAGGTTCAAAAGAAACACAGTGTAATTTGTCTATTCAGCTGTAACTTCTTCGTGTTTAACTGCTTAACTGCGCAAACATGCCTCAACAGAAGCCAAATCAAAGTCCAAACCTTTGGCCCCGGCCCGCATAAATCAAGTGGTCGCTTAAGACTGGGTTTTGAGCTGGTCTGAGATTCTGACATTTTTGCGCGGGTCTGCTGGCAGGAGACATAGCCAAAACCTGAACTTTCTGAAGCCTTTCATTCAAAATCCCTCAACCTACAACGCTGAAGCCCCCAACCAAAAGAACCTAAAGCCTTCAAGTTGAAACCCTAAACCCCGAAGTTCTCAAATTCGAACCCCTACAAGAAAGTGCCAAAGTTCTGAGCCATGCCCAGGTTCAGCGTCGTGAATGCGGTGACGGCGGTTCATCGCCTGGCCAAATGCGATGGGCTCAAATGCTTTCTGAAAAAAGGACCCCTAGGAACCCTTTCAGGGGACCTATGGCATTATTTCGAGTTTAGGGTTTAGGGTAGATTAGGGTATCGTTTCATAGCGGTACCCTTGGACCGTAAGAGTGTATTGCGAGTATATATACGGAGAGTGTTAGGGAGAGTGTAGGGCCTCTAGTACGGCTTCTGTAGGGACCATCTCAACAAACAGGTGTCTTAGGGTTCTGGGTAAAGGCTTCAGGGTAGGGCAGGCCGCTGACTGACTGACTGACTGACTGACTGACTGACTGACTGACAAGTTAGCTGCTCACGCTAGAAGTCCCCCTTTGCAATTCTTTTTGGGGGAGGAAGAAATTATCGTGGAGATTATGCAAGTCCTTGTAGAGTTTTTGAGATGTTGGAGACTTTCGACAGCAGTGGCCATCTAGTATCTAATGCGTAGTAAGGAGGGATGGCATGGATCCCCATGCCAGTCCCTTGAAAACTGCTTATAAAGTCTCAATAACCCATTCCATAATTCCCGACTAAGCACCAGCGGGTCTTGGGACGGGTGCTGCATTTCATTCATTTTTAATGGCCCCCCCCATCACCCACTCAAAGCCCCCATCACCCACTTAAAGCGAAAGGTACGGGACATCAAAGGGGCATGCTAGAATTACAATTCTCTCTATATACATTCACATACAGTTTGGTTCGATGGTTCGACTGATAGCGGGCTAGGGGAGAACCACATGGACGTCGAACAAGTTGGCGCGAAGGCTCAGGACATTTTGCGCTGTTCACAGGGCACAGAGGCGATAACAATCCTCAGTGCTCGCAATAATCAACATGCCCCACAATAATGGAAGTCTTTCGTAGGAAGCATCTAGTGCATTTCGAATTAGGTTGTGGGGGAGTGTTTAACATAACAGTAGGGGCAAAGCCATCATTGCCAGCGGCTTTCGTAATGGTGTCCCGAGAGGGTGGCAAGTTTCGCCTCAAACCAACCTGATACACTTGCAATTTCCTAAATACGGGGACCTCTGTATGGACCACAAAATATGATCATCCGTATGGTACGAACTCCAAAGATCAAACAAGTAACCGTAATTTGGGGGCTAAGATTTTGGAGTTCGCAATCCTTTGATACGCTCAATGTACGATTTAGCTTGACAAGAGAATTACGTAGAGTCTTAGGTGTTCTTATATGGATCAAAAGTGCCTCTTCCTGCCCAACGAAAATCTAAAACCCAGATTGTGCGTCCGAATCTCCAAGTTCTACCACCCCCTAAGCTGAAGCACAAAATCCCAATCCCTGATCCCCAAAACCTTGAAACTCAAGCCCTCAGCGCTAAACCGCAAGGCCTACATGGCAACCTGTATGGGAGATTTGCAAGATTAACCTGTAGGGAATCCCCCTAACGCACGCGCAATCTTGACTTACTCATAGGACACCTTAAAGTACCCTTTGTTGAGAAACCCTAAGCGTTAAACCTCAATCTCAACATCAAAGCCTGAACATGTGCGTACGTCCTTGTATCATTCTCAACCTTTTTCAGGATCTACGGGTACCCGGATTCTTTGAGAACACACCCCAAATTGCTTGTACTTTGTTTCGCGATGCTTCGACCTAGGCCCTGGAGTCCGGCGCAAGGACCCGAGGCTATCAGAGCTTCTCGCCCCTTGTCCGTGACAGACATGATAGGCCTTCTCTCTTCTGCTGAGGGGGTAGGAGACTGCATTGCGTTAGAGTTTCTCAACATGGTTTCCATATAATCCCAAAGCAGGGAACCTTTATATGCTTCTTGGACTCCCTGTACGATGTGGCCACTGTCTCAACGGTACCCCCATTTTGAAAAAAGCCAAAGCAACAGGATTTCTTGAGATTTGAGTTGGGTTTGCCTGCCGGCTCCGCATCAACTAGATGACAGCATCAGCATGCAATTCGGAATTGTGATCAGGATTTCTGTTGACATTGGCAGGCGATTGCGACTGAGTAGCATGCGCGACTAGCTGCTACCAACAACCCCCCAATATACACGGTTCGCTCAACATGTCCTCTCTGCAGCAATTTCTGTGCGCGCCGCAGCTGAGAGCTAGCCTCGGCTAAGAGGGAACACACTTGGTGGTCAATGTAGGTGGCTTGGGGCGATCCATGCTTGCTGACCGCAGGAGACGGGGCTTTGGCCATTGTTTATGTTTGTTGGTCATCCTGCTGGGAGTCGTGTTGCCAGCATCCACTCCGCCTCTCTGGTGGCGGAAAGGCCGGCCCAGGGAGATCTTGGGAAGCAGAGCTGAGGCAGAGCTGTTATCTCAGCTGGCCGTGCTGCTCATGCCAGACGAGCCGATTGCTGAGTTGTTTCGGAATTTCCCATGTGAACGCTGCCAGGATTACTGGGGCTGTAATCAAAATGAGATATAGGTGAAGTCGAAACCTTCATATCAGTTGAGGTACGGGCCCAAATACAATTTGTAAGACTTTGGGAATTGCCCGGCAGGACTGGGGCTCAAGCACTTTGAGCCCAGATTTGGCTGCTTATGGCGTGCTGAGAAAAGCCAACGCGGCCTTGTTCATCGAGTACGACGGGCATCTTCGACTTTCCAGCAGAGCAAGCTTTTGGGTGTTTTCGGAATGAGTTGAAAGGCCAGCACACTAAATGTGTGAGCCAGCCACTTTAGGCATTATCGCCACCTGGCGCCTGCGGGCTTAACCGGGGACATGCGCAAGACCGAGGCTCTTCTGCGATTTGCTCCTGCAGGATCCTTGGTGGTTGCTGGCATGTTTCTTAGAATACATGTTCTTCCTGTGTAATCGTAACTTCTGAAGCTATGAAAGCAGCATTTGCTCAACATTTGTTTATGCTTGGCCTACAGGTTCGTATTGCGCATGAGCAACGAGAATGGGAGGACAGGTCTGTAAATGTGGTGGTGGACTGCTGGCCGGCTGGGCATGGACCCTCCCTGCTCAGGGCTTTGAGGCAGGTAGGTTCCGCCCTGCTGCAGAGGTGTAGCGGGAAGCTACGCCCCTTCATAGCTTCGCGCCTCCAGAACACATCTACAGAAGAATGGGTAAGCAAGAAGGCCAACACATTTTCAAGGGACGCAGCTATTGCTGGTGTTTCAGAAAGAAGCGGCAACAGTAGCAGGAGGTTGAAGTTGCAAGAGCACTTCCAAGATAGCATGCAATTGACGGCATCAAAAACTGATACGGTTATTGCAAAGTTTCCTCGAGTGCTTGGCCTTAGCATCGAGGCAAATTTGAAACCTACAGTCGAATCGATCAAGGGTTTGGGCTTGAACCAGAGGCAGGTTGCCAAGGTTATCGCAACTTTTCCTCCGGTGTTGGGCCTTGGCATCGAGGCAAATTTGAAGCCTACAGTCGAGTGGATCAAAGGTTTGGGCTTGAACCAGAGGCAGGTTGCCAAGGTTATCGCAACTTTTCCTCCAGTGTTGGGCCTTAGCATCGAGGCAAATCTGAAGCCTACAGTCGAGTGGATCAAAGGTTTGGGCTTGAGCCAGACGCAGGTTGCCAAGGTGATCATGCAACATCCACAAGTGCTTGGCCTTAGCATCAAGGCAAATTTGAAGCCTACAGTCGAGTGGATCAAAGGTTTGGGCTTGAGCCAGACGCAGGTTGCCAAGGTGATCATGCAACGTCCACACGCGCTTGGCCTTAGCATCGAGGCAAATTTGAAGCCTACAGTCGAGTGGATCAAAGGTTTGGGCTTGAACCAGAGGCAGGTTGCCAAGGTTATCGCAACTTTTCCTCCAGTGTTGGGCCTTAGCATCGAGGCAAATCTGAAGCCTACAGTCGAGTGGATCAAAGGTTTGGGCTTGAGCCAGACGCAGGTTGCCAAGGTGATCATGCAACGTCCACAAACGTTTGGTTACAGCATCGAGGCAAATTTGAAACCTACAGTCGAATGGATCAAAGGTTTGGGCTTGAGCCAGCAGCAGGTTGCCAAGGTGATCGCAACTTTTCCTCCGGTGTTGGGCCTTAGCATCGAGGCAAATTTGAAGCCTACAGTCGAGTGGATCAAAGGTTTGGGCTTGAGCCAGAGGCAGGTTGCCAAGGTGATCGCAACGTTTTCTCCAGTGCTTGGCTACAGTATCGAGCCAAATCTGTCCATTAAGTATTTGCTGCTTCAGCAGTACTTCCCTGGCCAACAAGCAGCAAATTGCTTGGCTCGAGTGCCACGCTTGTGGAGCTACAGTCGTGCCCGATTGCAACACCGTCTTCACGTGCTACAGTCACAAGGTCAGCTTTCCAAGCTTTCATCTGCCATGGCTTTACCTTCGGAAATTTTCCATCGTAGATTTATCCTTCGCCAGACGAAATGCCAGCAGCAAGCACTGCCTTGGGGCATCCACCTGCAACCCAGAGGCCTTGAGAATCCTTTAGAAGTATGAGCTCCCCTGACAACAGAAGATTATGGTCCCAAGTCGCAAGGCCGTAAGGTCAAATCCAGCTTGGGATTTAGAAAGCTTAGGGCTTAGAATTCAGCGGTGTTGGGGTTTAGGGTGTGTAGGTCCAGGATTTAGGATATCTCACTATCTAGGTAGACTCTCACTGCAAATGTTGCTTCGTCCTCTTCGCTCCAACAACAATTTAGTTGACAAAGTCTGGGGTGGCTTGTTTGGGGTGGAGCTCCTCACGCGCATCCCACATGCCGCACCAGTGCAATTCCTTACCACCCTCCCAATCGAGCTTCTTTGCGGCCAATTAGGGCCAAGAAAATGAAGCGAGCACCGTGGGGGGTAGTATGCGGGGGTAGTAGAGAAACGCATGCCGAACATGCTACATCCTCAGCCTAAGCCCTTAGAATTTTAAAGCCCCACTCCATGCTCCTCGACAGATGTTGGTAATCCCGACCTGTATATATAATATACACCCACACATCCCCACCACGTCTTTATCATTGCATGAGCGCTTCATTTTCTTGCTAAGCTTCTGTGAATCGGAATGCGCGGCCTGCATTTGAGTATGTACGAATGTGACGACTTAGGATTTAGAGTCCAACGTAGCATAACCTTTATTACGAGCGCTCCCCAGAAGAGACCCAAGTTTGATACCCTCATGTAAAGGATGGACCCCTGTTCGGAGAAAGTCCTCATTCCTAAGCCATCAAAATCCGAAGTGCTAAACCCTAAACCCTACACGCCTGCCTACCCCTGAATCCTAGACCCCAGGTGCTAAACCTTGTTCACTGCTCCTTGACTTTGTTGCCTAGGCCTTGTTATCCTCCAGCTGAAGGCCTCAAATTTGAACCCGAAACCCACGGACTTGTGCTGAAGAGGAGTCGGGAGTGAATACAGGGACTATTATTGAGGCTTAGGGCTTAGGGTTCAGGGGGTTTGTATAGAGGTCTTTACAGGAACCAACTCACCTTCTCTCCTCTCCAGTGCCAGTAGACAAAGGACCGTGTGCTGCACATCTTCGAGTCTGAACCTTGGTCCTACCAGAACATGTTATCATCCTCATTTTTGTGCAGAATCAAATGGAAATGAACTGGAGACTGGGATTATGTAGTTGCTTACAGGTTTTAGGGCTAGGTAGCAAAGCCCGAACTACAACCAGGGAATATCCCATGGTTTATAGTATATACTACTAGAATGTACCAGATGACACTAGTGCTTTGTAACATGCCTACCTAGTGCTGCCATGTTTTTGCAGTCCGGCTCGGTAATCCGGGTTGCGTGGTTCATGGTCTCAGATCGGTTGAGGGCTGAAGGCTGAACCCTAAACTCTACCTCCTAAGGTTGACGGGTAGGGCTCCGGGCTTATTTCGTAGGGGCTAAGGATTAACTACCGAGGTAATGATTTGCAACGTACGCTTTGACTTTTGGAGCCGACACCCAGGCTTCTTCCTTCCATCTGAAGCTACATTTATGCTTTCTGAAGATTCTGAAGTAGGAGAAGAGTTGTTTCTGGGTCAGCGGAGGACCTCGCAAGCATATGGAAACCCAATTGAATCTAAACAAGTAATTCCTTGTCATGAAGCTGCTTGCCACTTCCCCAGATGGGGCCCGGATCTTCAGCTGGAACGCCAGACGTCGAAATTGAATGAATCTCAGCAGCCAGCATTTTTCCATCTGCCTACTGAACAGTGGCTTAACTGGGGATGGCGGGATTCGGGACCGGGGCTCAGGAAGATTCAGGGCTCAGAGTTTACGTAGGAGTTTGGGTTTAGCCGTTGTCGGCGCGTTGTTCGAGATTCAAGGCTTTATTGGGGGCGCAGATCGCACTACCACCAGGTTGCAGGATTTTTTTTACATATTCTATGCAACAACCGGGTATAGGGGGTTTAATTAGGCTGTAAGGATCCGGAGAGACAAGGTGTTCTCAGACTTGTCTCCTCAGGATCCCTCATGGAGACTCGTACTGTTAGTGGCATGTTTCCCTAGGGCCTCATTTTTGGAAACTCTCAGGTCTGAACCGTGAGCCCTAAACCGTGCTCACAGATCCTGACTGGAGGCTGGCAGTTCCGCGGGGCACAGCGCAGGGGAAGACGTCTGCCCCTGAGAAGAGGGACGAGTAATTGGGTGTCTGGGACATCGTGGATACAAAGCATAGATCCTTTTCAAAGGGCATTCGTCTAATTGCGAGGGACTGTTTTGGTTCCATGTTCGTTTGGGAGAGTGTGAAAAGCTTAAATGGTCGTTGTATTAAAGCCCAACGAGGAGCAAAACAGTGTTAGAGACTGTCCTGACAAGGATCCAGGGACCCTAAACCCCAAATCCAAAATCCTTACTGAGCATTTGGGGTTGTGGTGGGTGCGGCTTAGAGTTTGGGTGTAGAAGTGCAGCCAAATTGAGATTACATGTAGCAAGGTACTATGTCCTCTAGTCTTCAAAAAGTAACCTCACATTTCATTACAAGAAGCACCGGTGTTTCGCAATCTACCTACATGTTCCACCCGCACAAACATATAACGGTCCCAAACTTGGGGTGGATTTTTAAAGGTTCTCATTCTCAAGCTCAGAACTGTTGGTCTAAAACAGATTTTCGAATCCTCCAACTGGGTTTTCTAGAAAAACTCATTACACAGGGAGTGGAATGATCTTGTGCTGTCCGACGATTCGTAACGAGGAACAAGATAAGCAGTTGTAGAAGAATATTGAGGGTATAGTGGGAAGATTAAGGCCTTAGAGTTCAGAGCTAGCTGAAGGCTCACGCGACCTGATAGCTGCTTATAACCGCGCTGGTGGCAGGGAGTCCACGCCTGCAAGAAGCATTTCGCGAGGTCGTGTTCCCCTAAGTCGGATGACGTCGAGATCTACTGTCCTTCTTGCATAGGGGAGCCCTCTCCTTTAGAATTGGTTGAGCTGCTTTCCGAAGTAGTGTACATGCTGGACAAGGACTGCGGATATGATCGAATCTTTGCTTGCTGTTTGCAGCTGCAAGAGATGTGGTATGAAGTTGGTCTCTCCCCCGCAACATTCTCCGCATCAGTGCGGCTTCTTGCGATCTTGTCATGAGCCCAGAGGTTTAGCACCGCAAACATTGGGGGCAAAGAGCTTGCCGAACCCGAAATTCTAGATAGGTCCTGGCCCTGCTCAAAACACTTTGTGCCGAATATATTGGGTCTGGCTGTGTAACTCCTACCTTGATCTCAGCAAGCTATCAGTCAGCGTTTCGCCAAAAAAATGAGTCGGATGACGCAGGCAAGCATTCTTGAGAAGGCTTCCTGCTTTGTGCAAGCGACAGGCTGAAAGCTAATGCAGCCCAGGACAAAGCTTTAAGACATCAATAGTGCCCTACATCTTCAACTGCCAAACTTTCAGCCATCGTTGTGCCGAATCCTCCAGTTGAGACCTACTTTTCATGTCCCCGAATCACATGGCAATCTATATGAGCCCGTGACCTAGTTGCGGTGGTGCAACATAGTCCCATCCCAAATGTCTTTGTGTAGGTTTGGGCATAAGGCTACAGACGAGTACTCACCCATTAGTTAGTAGATGTAGCTCATAACACCGTAGAGATTTTGCAGGGGAGCAGATGCACGCAGATATGTTGCACATTTTTAGATGTTGGCGTTCAAATAACACCTGGTAGGCATGGGCCTAGAGTCCTAGAGATGCAAAGAGAAGTGCGAAAGAAGAGATCCTCAGGTGGAACTTTCATGTGGACACCCGCGCCCTTACGAATGTTGCCTGGGCGCAGGCGCACCATGTGGCTCACACATTACGCTGCACACGCTTCAACAGAAAGCTTGCAAAACACCTTGCGCAGTCTGTCAGTAAGAACCATGCGGACATGGCCCAAGCCTTCTGCAGACATGCATATTCTAACCCTTGCGCAACATCATTAGCCCTCATGAGGCGATAAAACCCTTGTGACAATGGAAGCTGTTTAGCACTCTCCGCCTCTCCTTTGGTCGCCCCTTCGCTGCAGACTTCAACTAATTGTAGATCAATGGCTAACCTACTCATAACTGTACTTCTAACCCAGTGATAAGCCTCCTAACCATATGAGGAGTTAGGAACGAATTACAGTGCTACTTCGGGTAGATTTACTCATGAATGCCTAAGTAGAATTACAATCTGAGATTCTCTCAGTAGGATATCTTTCGGTTCCTCCTGAGGGCAGGCCCTGGTGTCAAGAGCAGTCCTCTACACCCCAAACCTTTCCTAAGGTAGTGTGTATGGGGCTCAGAAGCAAATGATGGGGGTCCTGCAACAGAATTCTTCATGGCCCATGGCCTGTTTGGGGGCTTCCCAAACTCTCTCAAACGTGGAGGCCTTTAGGAGGATCCTACGGAGTGCGCCTAGGCTTTGTGAGGTTAACGTGGTGATTACGAAGATCCTTACTCGCTTACCAGGGACTATGAAGGGAGTATTTTGAGAAGCTCCCTTCTGTGCCCAAAACCCAAAACCCTTGAAGCTCTAGTCTTAATCAAGTGCAGTACGTTCAGCCCACCTTCTAAGGTAGGGTTTTATCATCTGTTTCGGTGAATGTATCCAGGGTTCCTTATGGAATTTTAGTGAGTGTAGACTTTTCGTGTTCAATTTGGGGACCAAAAAAAAGTGACACATGGGTCACACCAGAATTATGGAACATTTTTGTGGTGGGCCCTGCATTTAAGGTTTTATTCTGGGAGTTAGTGGGGGACCTAAGTAAAAGCAATGCCTACTTGTATTCATGCCTTCGACCGCCATAGACCGCATGCTCATAAACCTCAGCCAGAAGCTGCAACCCTAAGCTTGAAACCTTCAGGTATGCAACCTCATTCCCAAGCCAGGAACTTACGCCCTAAA